AAATTGATTGAAATTTGGCAAAAAAATAAATAAATGTTTGGTTATAGCGGTTCAAGAAGAAAGGCAAAGTTCGAGAGCGGATATAACCAAAGTGTTAAGTAGTAGTGGACATCGGCATATCATCACAAGTCAAATGGAAGCGGAAAGTACGAGTACTTATGGTGGTCTTGAGATTCAACTTCAGAGGATTGCTGCAGCTGAAGAAGCTTCAGAAGTACTTTTTAGTAATATTAAGGTATTTTCTTCTTCCAATTTGTTTGTTTGTTTGTTTGTTTTTTTCAGGTAATACTGGAATGATAAATCAATTTGTAATGATTTTTATAGCAATTCCTGATTAACTTTTCAACCAACTTTTTAATTAATTAGTTGGTTCTTTAATTCCAGTTAATTGCTTTCATTTTTATATCCCAAAAAGGAATAGTAATTTGATATTAAATAATTCTTCGTAATTTACATATTTGTTGCTAAAATGAATGGATGATCCATCAATGTCTTTTAGAGTCCTATCCTTTCATTATACTTTCTTAGTTAGTTGCGCAAGTTGACTGAACTCTTGACTTTTGATCCTTTCTTTTTCTTCCTTTTCTTTCAAATTTCTTTCAACTAATTTAAATTTAATTTAAAAAAATCATTTAAATCGAACAAAACTTATTCGAATATCTGATTTAATTCTTTTTTTCCTTTTTTTTTGTTTCAAGTGACATAACAGTGTAAATTAAATGTTGCTTATTAAGAGTCTTTTAAGGCGCAATTGTCTATCCCATTTTTTTCCACTTTATCCTTTCATCAGATGTTTTTATGTTTTAATTGTTATTGTTAGAAATGATAATTAGAACAATTTGATGGTAGGATAGTAAGTCTGTTTCAGAATATAACCAGAAAATTGAATCAGTTTGATTGTAATTTCTTCGAAACTTTGAATATAAGTGATAATGGATTTGACCTTGCCTTAGGTCATTTTAATGGTAATAATGACCTGTTTTCATTAGTGTATGATGTTGGGCAATAAATGAACAGCCAATTAATGCTTTACTTACAACATTTGGATTTTTAAAATTTTTTATTTCAAAATAATTTACATATTATGCAAAATTGATTGAGATCTTTTTGATGATTCCTGAATTTTTGTCTTATTCTTTTGCTTTACTTTTCAAACAATTTGGAGAGTTGATAATGAAGAAATAAAAAGTTTACTTTGATTATATAATTTAATTTTGTTTTTAATTTGTCAAATAAACCTTTTTGATAAAGTAATATGCTCTAGTGTTAATATCAGCTTATCAAAAGATTATATTTAATATTAGAAGATTCAGAAGGTTTTTTTTTTTCTTTTAGATCGAATCAAATGATATTAATAGTTATGAATCATTGGAATGGCAAATGATACGTATAGTTGAATGGGCTTTGATGTTGCCATCATTCAATGAAATTTTGGTGGAAGATCAAGCTCGATTGATAAGATTTGGTTTGTTTATTTCTCTATCTTTTTTTCTTCATGTAAATTTAGGAATGAATTATGTTGAATTTTTGAGGAAATATCTATAGTGCTATAATACATACACTACAATAAAATCATAAATTATATGTGAAAAGCTTTGATCTTTGTGTTTTTGATCTTTAATTTTTGCTCCTGTCATTTGTTGATGAAAAAAAAAGAAATACTGTAAAATCTAACAAGATAATCCTAAAGGAATAGTCATATAATGATTAAAATTAAATGATGGTCATTTTGTGATGAAAGGATATGATCTCCTAAGGATGACCATTTAGCATATGTGATATCTGTAAATGCTTTTGTATTACGATATGAAATGAATACCTAATTCGACCGAACTTCTTGCATTACACAAATAATCATCAACTAAAAGAAGTCAGTAAAGGTTACTACAGTTGATCTGTCTCGTCAATACTGCTCAACCATTACCGGAACGTTTGCTTAGTTCTTGGCTGTTTGAAATTTGGATATTAGTTTAATGATCTTTTTAGGATGGCATGAAGTGATCCTTGCGGATATAGCTTATCGTTCCACAATAAATAAATTATTATTATGGCCGGAACGTGTAATGGAACGGAATGATGCGGAAATTCTGGGTTGCCGGATTATTTTTGATCGTATTATTAATGAGCTTACAATTCGATTGAAAGATTTAGATGTTGATCGAATGGAAATTGCTGCCTTGCGATGTGCTATTCTTTATAATCCAAGTAAATTTGTTTAGAAAAAGAAAAGTAAAATATTACAGAAGTAATGAAATAGATAAGTTTCAGTATAAATTTTGAATTTTAACAAAATTTGAATCAGCGAAATGAATGCTAAATTCCGTGATATATTCAAGAAATTACTGATAATTGAGATAAAATGAAATTTTTAATAGGTGTTAGCGGATTACGGAATGTCTCAGTAGTGGAATCATTACGTGATAAAGTGATGGTATGCTTGGAGGATTACTGTCGACAACATCATCCGGAACAAACTCAACGCTTTGCCAAATTGTTGTTACGTATGCCAGCGTTACGATCTCTTAGCTTGCATTGCGCTGAAAATGATGGTTTTATTATTACTGCACCTACTATTCAGGTAATTTCTCCTAAAATATCAGATCATCTGAGTACATCTATGACACGGGTGTAAACGGAAAGAATTCCAGATTTCCGAACAGTACTGTTAATTAAGCAGCAGGAATGATTGAAACATGCAAATTATTGAAAAATATTTAATTCTGAATATACCTTATACCTTTGCAAAGATTTAAACCTTTTATGAATAACGCATTAATTAATAGTCTACAAAATGAAGTAATTGATAATTTTAGTTATTTCCTTTTATTTGTGCTTCAAGCAAAAATCATAACTTCACATGTAAGTGCAAGTGTAAGAGTATTAGGAGCAGATATTTTTCGCAATGGAAATTACTTACTTGCATAAGGTATGAATTTATTCTTTACTATATTTCAGGATCTTATTCGAGTGTTAATTCAACGCCAAAATTTATCCATACAAAGAAATCTGTGATACATTCTTTTTTCAATTTCATAATATATTTTAGGCCAAAGATTTTTTGTTTTTTTGCAATATCAAACCAATGCATTCCATTACCTACTTCATGTGCTTTCACCCATTTTATACCAAATATATCCATTAATTATTATCAGCAACAACAGTTTTTTTTCCTTTTTTTTATTTACCTTGTCTAAATTGCAGGAAGTGAAAAAATTTTCCCATTCTGCAATAATTTTTCTGTGAAGTTAGAATGATAAAAATGATAATGCTAGCATCAAGATATCATTCAGAAAAATCATTTAGGGATGTTTTGGAATAGCACAGAACCAAAAGGTTCTAAATATTTGGCTTCAAATTTGTGATCAGTTAATATTTATCACTGTTGTTGCCGTTCATTAACAATATTTTTTGAATAATGTTATTCTTCTAACTTATCATTGTCACAAAACCAACAGTAATAAATGTTTCCGCTGTTTTTAAATGCAAGTATGAAATGTGCTTTCAACGTCGGAAATGCTCTCATCAGAAGAAAATGAAACTTTTGAAATTTTGCAAAATTTTAAAATATATTACGGATTCCTACATAAACAAGTAAAGATAAAAAAACTTCGCAGCTGCTTTGAAATTTTTATGTTGATGAAGCAAAATCGAAATTTTTATTCATGAAATGTCTTAAAACATAAATTTATCGTTAGGCATAAGAACGAAGCTATGAAAATCTCAAATTCTGCATAAACTTCCTTTTTGTTTGAAAATTAGTCCTCAATTTCTCTCCATGACAAAAAAATCAAACAATCCGGAAATCTTATATTCCCCTCTCCTCCACATAAATCTTATTCATAATAATATTTCTGAATAAATCATCGACAATTTTGAAAAGATTTAGACTACATCCTACTAGCTATTTAAACCATTCTAAGTTATGACTGTTTGTCATCAAAATACATCTAGGCAATCTAAGACTTGATATCAAATGCAGGACTGAGCTTATTTTGATCATTTAACTCGTTCTTATCCTTTCCTCTTTTGACTGCCCATCGTCAACGATTGTTTTCCGATGTATAATTGTTTTTCAAGAATAAGAGGTTTTTAAAATGAGAAAGTTATAGTAATCTAACATTCGCTTCATGTAAGTCAGTATGATGTTTACGGATGAAAGGATTATCGAAAATCCTAAAGAGAAGTGCCAGAGACACCCTTCTCCCCACCCCCTATAATGCACACAATGTTAAAGAACTCGTGAAGTTTCCAACTTCAAAAATGTAGAACAATAAAATGCAGAAAAAACTAAGAAAGAAAGGGACTTGTGAATGAAACAGAAAAACAACGAAAACTTAATGAAATAATGGTTAACAACCTATTGCATAACAAAAAGCTGCTTTGTCCCTGATGAATTCATCGCATTAGTGATTGCTGTTTTCCAATCTTCAAACTTCACTTTACTGACTTTTGGTGGATGAAGTTTTCCATGTTTTATTAAGTCCTGCAGTTCTTCAAACATTGCATCGCGATCCTAGAATGAGTGATTGTAAATTAAGAAAAAAACAATGTTATAACAAGATATACTGGTAACATTTCATTTACTAATTCGAATTTCTCATAGGATCAATAATATCTGCCTGTGCTGAAATATGGAATTTGTATAATTCAGTTTATGGTACGATGTAAATCTATCTGTTCAATAAAATAAAGGTTAAAGAACAAACGCATATAAATAAGGGAGGTGTAAGTGAGAGAAGCTCTATTTCAATTAAAGGTTTTAAAAAACAGCCATTTCTTATAAATAAACTAATATTTCGTTACTAAATGCATTTGTATTAAAATACGCATCTTGCGCATTTAAGCCACATTTTAAATAGAACATTAAAATTATATAAAATCAAAACCATACCACGAAATTTAAACTGCTTAAGTCCTAAGCATTGCATAATAACAAATGAGTCAGTACTTCAAAACCGACGGTATTTGTACTGACGAATTCCGACATTATATTTGTATGCAATGACATAACGAAGAAAGATTTGTAGAAATGAAAAACACGTTACATGAGCATGAAGATAAGTGTGAAAATTAGGATATGGATTAAGAACCTTTTTGCTGCTTCGAGTTGCGTACCACTGAGAAATCCAAAAACCCACCAATTTAATATCTTTAAATATGAGTGATCCAGTTGGGATCTAAAATTAACAATGACTTCTCATCAAAAAAATTAGAAAATTATGAAACATATTTTTAACAATTTCAGTTCAATTACTGGCTTAAATTAATGTAGAAATGTAGAAAATTTCATGCCTCAATAGGCTTCTTGCTCATTCCACCGTAAGTAACCATTACTCCTTTACTGGAAAGACAAGTTGATAACATCAATGCACTCCGACCACCGACACAATTCAGCGCTAACTGAGCATTTTTAGCCTGCAAACTCAGACAACAAATAAAACAATTTTAAGTAAATGAAATTTAGAAACCATAAAATTTCCAAATCCTTATTTAATTACTCCATACTTCCAGTCCTAAAGACTCCAAGAACTGGAAATGTGGAGTAATAAAATAAGAATTAGAAAACTAGAGATACCCAATTGGTTGGTTTTTTTAAAACTTATCCTAGTAATAGCCCATCATAGTAATAAGTATTTTAGCATATCTGGAAATTATCTATGTCGTCGCTGTTACCGATAATCAAAAAATATCGGGTAACTTGTAATTATATTCAAAATCTATTGAAATTCGACATTGAGCTTAGAAGCATCGCAACATCATATTCATCACAAGCAGGCAGTACAAGCGAATCAAAATGCTAGTGCAACTAAACCTTGATAAATTAGAAATGAGATTATTTTTACTAGTCAGATAACTAACACAGAAATATTTATTCTTTAAAAACCACGCACTATGTTTACAATTTAGGAAATATTGCCATCGAAATCCATTTATGGTGGTAAAATAAGGTGAAATAAAACTCACTTTATCCCTCGATTCTTTCGGCATTTCTTCCTCCGTGAACACTTCATCGGCACCAATTTGTTTCAATTCTCGAACAAGTGCATCAATATTGTCACGATTACGTACAACATTTACAGTTCGGATATTCCATAATTTGCACAACTGGACTTTAATACAAGTAAAAAGAATTCACAGGAAACAAGAAATTAAGGTTTATTATTAGATGTTTTTTCTTGTACTTATAAATCATAAGATATTCTGTTTCGACATATAATCCGAATTGCCGGAATAAGAATTTCACCTGTATTACATAACGACCGACATTCGAATTTGCACCATTTTGGACAACTAAATCACCGGGTTTCAAATTCACAAAGTCTTTCAACATTCTGTAGGCTGTCGGAGGATTAACCTACAAATAACATACTCTCTTTTGGATGTATAAAAAAGATCGACAATGGCCTAATTCGAATACAACGTTTGAAGACGTTGTAAGGATGCATATCCGTATATCCGAAAAGTAAAAAAGAAAAATTACTAGCGAATAATTTAAAAATATTTTCTCTTAAGATTCCAATCAAAACATAATCGAAACCATCTCAAATACAAGAAAGCAGAAGTAACCTGAAGTGTAGCTGCTGAGTCGAACGGTAAATCGTTTGCGATTTTAAAAAGATCTCTTTCGCAGTGTTTCCCAAGTGTCCTCCAACTACCACCAACTGAAAGACCTGGCACAACCCAATCACCGGTACGCAAAGTCGTTACCTCACTTCCAACCTACTGTGAACAAAATTTATCGAGAAAAAAAAAGTGCATCTTGCTGTAAATTTAAAAATCATGAAAGTTACGGATGTAAAAGAGAGATGAAAGGAAGCGAAATTATTGTTCGGAAAAAAAACGCATCGTTTCGTCAAAATTACTTCTTCAACCTCGCCAAATCCTTCTATTCCACCAACAGCAGGTAATGGCCGTTTTGATGGATAAACTCCTTGCACTTGATTTATATCCGCTGGATTGATAGGTGCACCCATCCAACGTACTCGTACCTCACCAGCACCAACTTTTCCCACTTCTTTTGTTATTAAATTCAACACCTGACAGCAAATTTGGGATTTCATTTTTGAAAGCAAGAATTTTTTTTTTATAATGACATACATTCCTGAATTTCGTCTGGAACAGTCAAATTTTTTTTTTCCGATGGTTTCTCTGCTAAACTTATCGCTATGAATCAAACACCGCCCAAAAATGTGATGGCAATAAACATCGCCTGATAATATAATAATATAACCAAAATCCGTTGCTTAGATTGTATGGAAGGCCAACAATTCTATCTATTTGGACTTGAATAAATGAAAAACAAAGGATTATATTTGAAATATCTTTTATAACATAAAAGAATTTTTACATCTGGTGGATGTCCATACTTTTCGTACATTAATTGTTTTGATGTAAGATATCGTTGGCAACGTTTTCGGCATAATCGAGCACCTATCAATCCAATAGATGATCCGAACATTTTGATTCAGAAGCTGTATCCCTTGTAAACTACAAAATATTAAAAACATTAAATTGCAAATCGAAATATGTTTGTTTTCTAAACTCTGACAAACTAATGCGACGAATAAATCAGGGAAGAAAAAACAAAACTACTGAGAGATTAATCCCTGAGAAGAAGCAGCAATGACACTAAATTACTGAATTCTAGAAGCATGCTAACAAATAATTCCCAGTTTAACTATTGATGACAATGATCTTAGATAACAATCTGCTTCTAGACGCCTATTTCAAAGCAATCTGCGACAATCGCAAAAAGCCTCAGGATTAAAAAAAAGGGGAAAAAAAAGAAAAAGGAAAATTGGTCCCCAAGGAAAGAAATACGAGTATTGTAATGATTAATAGCCTGATATATCCAAACACAATGAAACTGAGACGACACTCTTGAATGATAACACCATTACTATGATTCGGTAGATCGGAAAGAGGATGCAAATAATTCTCATCCTTATCAGTCTTATCAAGCTCTGTAACCTCTTCGCTAACAGAACTATTCTCCTTTAGCTTTTCATCCATATAATTCTCATTCAAACAAATAAACTCCACAACATCATCAACCATTCTACGTACTTGAAACAAGAAGATAGTCATAAAGGATATGTGCTAAATATAATCGGGCCGTATGTCATTAAATTCGGTTTCAACTTGCGTAATTCCATTGCAGGGACCGATGGAACCGGATGGATTCCCTTCCGGGAGATTTCATTACGGGACGGGGTAATGCTGCATACTGTAACATCCCGGATCCCATATTTCCGCGACATCATGAAAAGGTGCAAATCAATTCAGCAATAAGAAAGCTTGCATTTATGATTATCAATTTGTAGCGATTGTTCAGTGATGTTGAAGAATATTAACTTTTGATGAATTGTTGGGAGTGATGTGTTTGTGTAGGAGTTGAGATGTCACCGAGGTGTCAATGAGTTGTCAACATAAATAGCAGGTTATCCACGATATCTACGACATATTCCCGATATCCATTTATGGTCAGAGTTTTGATTATTATTTTCCACAAAGTTTCCTAACTTTCTTCTTTATATCTAGTTACTTTGCAACATAGAAATTTGTTAAAGAATGGATCGATGATATTTGTAAATAATTTAACGAAGCATTACAATCCGCATTCACTTCGTATTCTACAAATCACTGTTAAGAAACGTGAATTGGCTTAATTACCAATTATCAGTCGCTCTACAATTGTCAGTCGTCAACACAGTCAGCCAAACGTAATCGGAATAACTACTGTTATGATATAACACTGCGTTAACACTAATCACTTCATCGTCGAATGTATGGAAAAGATATCCAATTTATCACAATTCTTTCATACCGTTATTTGCAGGGATAATGTTTAGTTTTCATAAATGATTTCAGTAAAAATACTATTTTTACAAACGACTTCAGTATTTCGCCAAGGAATTCTGGATATATTTCAATTGCCCGAACTAAAATTCAGCTCTCCTTGCTTTCCAGGATTTTAGATGCTCGTAGAAGGATAAGTTTTTTTGGTGCCATGAGCAAGTAGATAATTTAGAATTTCATTAGTTCGTTAGCTGAAAGTTTTTTTTTTCAAGTCTGATGGTAAATTTAAACTATGGAATGCCACACCTAATCTAATTTAATTTTGCGATATCTTAATTGATACCTATAACAGAATGGCACTAAATAATCTACCTTGTACGAAACTCTGATATCTGCAGCTCTTGTTATCCAGAGCAGTGCAAATTTTGTTCGCAAGTTTCAGTTAACAACTGAAAAATGGAGAATTCGAGATTTGGAATTTTGCTAGGAAGTTTGGAAGGAATGAATATTTTCCAGTCATTGTCGTTTGTCGCTTTCTTTAATACCGAAATACTTTCAGCATTTACTGAGTATATTGCGTGTAAAATGATCTAACGGAGAGTGGTGGAATGATTTTTAGAGTTGCGCATTTTTGCCATAAGCATCAATTGATCAAATAATAATGTATACGAATTTTATTACTTCGAAAAGCAAAAGATCGAAACAGCGTCATACATAAATTAGTCGTACGTAAGTTAGAAAAAAGATAAGTTAGCTAAATACCTACATGAGATGAGCATCACAATATATACATGTATTATACATGTACAATAAATAGTAATTATACGGGGAATAAAATCTCTAAATATAGCAGATTCATGGAAAATCTCTTTTAAAAAGTGCAGTTTAATCTATAAGTCATAAAGAGGACGGATTTTCCTACTCGTCATGAATTATAGTAATAGTAATAATAGTAGTAATTTTTCAAAAAACAATACATCCATTTTAAAATTTTAATACAAGTAGAGATGAATTCTTAACAGATCGCTTAAAAACTTTTGCAAAGTGCTATAGCATGCTTCAAATGAATTTTGCATCAATTGCGTGTTGGAAAGCAATAATAATAATAATAATAATAATAATAATAATAATAATAATAATAATAATAATAATAATAATAATAATAATAATAATAATAATAATAATAATAATAATAATAATAATAATAATAATAATAATAAATAATAATAATAATAATAATAATAATAATAATAATATAATAATAATAATAATA